TCTACGAAAATTATCCCCTGAGAAATTATGGGTTTGTCGAATTGTATATGGACTTTATTGAAGTAAGGCCGATATCGAAAATGGGATAAGTCTACGGAAATACCATTTTTTATGTTTATTGAAAAAAATATATACAAATTTGTTTTCAAATAAAATGTTAAAAAATATTTTTGTTTAATTGTGGAATTGCAAGAAAAAAGAATGGTCCAACTAAACCACCAAATGACATCCAAAATATTATATCTACTATAAGTAGTTTTATTTATATTTAAATGCAATTAAAATTGTTGTTGTGAAAAATAATAAACTTGATGGAACTTGCTAGTTTTGTTTTTTTTTTTTTTTCTTTTTGGTATCTACATTAATTTTTTTGGGCATTCTTTATTTAATTGGTTTCCTTTTGGAATTTCCTCAATTCCTTTTGTATTGCCTCGATGAGCGGTGCTGCAGAAAGATCTTGCACGTGACGCGATGACGACAATTGCGGTTGGATTTCGGCTGGCCGATGGAAGGGTCCAGCACTCATCGGTCTGACCAGGGGTGAATGTGAACCATTGGTGCTGCCACCATCCCAGGCGCCCATTGTTGGGGATGGTGGTTGTGTGGAATGATTGGATTTTGTGGTTTTTGAGGGTTGAGCTGTGGAGGGGCGATTATCGCTGGCATTTTGCATTTTCAGATTGACGCTGAAAAAAGAAGAAGGAAATAATAAAAATTTCAAAATCGATTTAAGTTACTCACTTTGAGGCCCCAGCTGATGAGCCACGTAATTCCCGTTTGGTGGGCTTACGGTTATTGGTAAAATCACGATTCGGCAGTGGCATGGGTAGATCGTCTTGACTGGAATACATTTGTATGGCTCCCTCGAGTAGGCCCTCGTAATGATTGCGCATTGCAGCTGGATCTCTAGAGGGACTGTAATAATCAAAATTTCGATGGTGATGTACCTCATCATCATGATCTTCATATAGCGATTCCATAGTGTTCAGGGATTTCCGATTGCACAATAAAAGGTGAAAAAGTGTAGAGAGGGAGTTGAAAATTAGGAAATGTTGAAGCTTAGTAACGCTGTCTTCTTTGGTAGTTACCATTGTCCAAAATATCATCGGCACTGAGGCGCTTCTTGTGTCGCTCCCAAACAATGGGTCCCACAACACCGGGATCGGGATTATCACTTTGTGATGCAAATCGGGGAACTTTTTGTGGTGCCTTGGGTGTGGGAAATCCTTCAATGGTGGCGATTGTGGTGGCATCCAATGCATCATGGGACGAGATACGTTTATTGTGCTGGTTCCGCGATGATTTGCTGGATTGCGGAACATTTTCCACATTGTCGTAATAGGTTACGAAAACCGGTTCTAGAACACGATTTAATGGTTCCGGCAATGCTGTCTTTGGAAAGGCCTTTACCGATTGCATAGATAAGAATGACCCAATACTTCCCGAGTCCGATGATTTCTCAGCAGGTTGTAGGGTCCTTATGATTTCTTTATTTATTGCCTCTGTGGAAGGTTGGTGTTGTTGGTGTCGATGTCCTTCCACCGGATCCCCTCCACGATCTGTGTGAATTGTCTTCTGATGCAATAACTTATTCCGATGATAATTCGTGTGAGGATTAAATGCCTCATTGGGTGGATCAAAATTAACATAGGTCCTATCCAGTTCATCAGCCGAATCATCGCGATGACTCTGAACGGGACTTGTTTCCAAAGAACCAACACGATTTTCCGATAAATATCTCCGCTTCGGTTTGTGTTGACGTGACTTGTCACGTTTCTTTCGGAAATGACAGTTGTATAGATGGCCTCTTCATTCGTTTCAGCGCGATCATATTTATTGAGACGTCGTGTTCGATTTCGCTCAAACAGTCCATTTGATTTATCGTCTAACATTCGTTGTACATCAGCCGTAGGTGGATTTATGGGGCAATACACCGAAGAGTCGGATGTATTATCCGAAGAGGTTATTGAAGATCTACGTTGATTTTGGGCGGGTGGACCGGGGAAGTGGATGCGTGGTTCTCGGGTCGTACGACCATTTTCATGTTCAAAGGAGAAATTTTGTATGCCCGTATCACGAGACTCGGCGGTTGCTATGGTACGGCCTGTATCGGGGGCGGTAACACTGGATGTGGCACGTCCACCAGATTGGGGCTCCGAGATAAGTTCATTGCGACTCGTGGTCCTAGAAATGAAAACATAAAAATCAATACTCGAGTTTCTCTCTCTCTCTCCCTCTCTTCTTTCTTAGCTCTCACCTATTTATCTGATCATTTCTATGCCTAACATGTGATCTGCCCATCAAAAGTAAAGCCAACAGCAGCAGGAATAATAACAAAATCGCTATCGAGCTGACAATTACCAATATCGGATTATTTTGTATGGAATCTATGAAACCATGGCTACCGCTACTATGTGTGGCGGGTGCCAATGGTGTGGCCTGCGGTTCTCGTAGATATGCTAAAATTATTGTTCTTGTCTTACGTTCTGCTTTCATTATAATTTCTTTGCCCAATACTGTGGATACTTCCGATTCACTGACCAATTTCATATCATTGGCAGCTGTTACCGCCAATACGGGTCTTCCATTAACAAAAACGGAATAGATCAATTCAGTTTGGTTGGTGAGGGGTCGTTCATCTCTGAAATTAATAAAAAAGTATAAATTTTGTTAAGTTTGGGGCCGAACGTTTTATACACTCCACCATGTAGTGTACTTAAAATATCCAAAACCTTCCAAACCTAAGTGGACCAATATTGATAAAAAAAAAATTAAAAACATATTAACATATTAATGTGTCTATAGGTTAGGTTGAAAAAAGGAGTGGTTTGGGTGGAAAGGAAAGAGAAGCACCACAAAATTGGACTTCTGATACTTCTAGGAATTCTGTGTTCTTACTGTGTTCTTCTTTAGAATTTTCCATAAATATCCCCTTAGGTTGGTTAGTTCGTGGGTAGTTTAATTTCCAAAGTATTGTGTGCGAAGTAGTGGGTGCTTCCCTATCACCCAATCTTTTGTAAATAATATCTATCAGACTGCTCGCTCAGGTTTGCTTAGTGGGTCTATAAGTCATTAAAGTCGCCGGATCGGAAACTAAATTCGGTCGGGACATTTGTGAGGGGACTACGACATTATAATTTTTCCGCCAGAAGGAGAAAACGAAATGAATGTAACAGAAATCTCTATGGTACATTCGGCTGAGAAATTGGAGAAAAATGGAGAAAAATTGTCAAAATTGGACCCGTATTTATAATTTTTGTATTGACGCACAAATACTCTGGATCTCCTCACTTCGTTCGAAAAATTGGCACGGCATGTCGAATTGTTGTATATTGGAAATAACAAAATGGGTCCTATTGATTAAATGCAGCTTGGTGTGTGGGTCTGTACCGTTAATGATATTGTTCTAGAGGCATCCTTTTGTATGCTTTGATCTTTCTCTCTAGATCATGAAGATCTTTCCTGCAAACTGTTGGGGTTGTCACCACCATATAAAGGTTGCTCTGCATATATTTATATGGGGGTGACGGTATGGAAGAATCTTCGTCTCCTCGTGTCGATGGTCCACATGTCTTATGAAGAAGTAACCTCTTGCAGTTCTCAGGTCGGCATTTTGACAGGTCCACATTTGTTTGCGTGAACGATTTAAATAATCTACTGACTTTTGACCGAAAAAAATTGGGGAAGTTAGTGGTCGAAATTGTATGCCTCCCTGATATTCCACATTACACATATGTTCCCAACGATAGGACCCAAAGACATGATCGTACATTCATCTGCATACGTAACCGGAAAGGTAGTTGTTAAACAGCTACGGAGAGATTACACCACTTTGCGTAACTCTCAGCTTCACTGAACGGGGTTTGGGATTTTTATTCCGGAACATCACAAAAGACTGGCATTTTCGACGTTCTCAAACAGTATGAAAGGCTATTGATAGGTCAAACGCTACCAACACTGTTCTATGACACGGTCTTTTCTGGTTTAGTTCACGATTTCCCCAATTATGGGTATCTCAAAAGCGGGTAAACATCTTCTTCTGGTACCTCCCCCACAAAATGGCCAAAATTGAGCTAAAAAACATTTTTTTAATATCACTAATCCTACATCAAGTCCGAAGATTTGCACGAAATTTTGAATAGAGTACTGAATTGAGCCTAAAATGATGTGTGTTAAGTTTCGTGAAAATCGGTTGGGATTTAGATATAGCTCCCATATATATTTTCGTCCCGATTTATTGAAAATAGTGCGCCAAAGTCCTTATATATCATTCGATGTGCCGGCGTACTGAATTAAGTGCAGAATGATGTGTGCTAAATTTCGTGAAAAACAGTTCAGATTTAGATATTTTATTATATATTTTCGTCCGTGTATTAATCTTTCTTGAAATCGGCTCAGATTTACATATAGCTCCTATATATATTTTCGTCCGATTTGAAGTAAATGGTTCACTAAAGACCTAAAGCTAGACCGATTGACACAACGTACTGAAGTTAATATAAATTAATCTCTGGAAAGTTTCCTTGAAATCGGTTCAAATTTAGATATACATAGCTTCCATATATACTTTTTGAATTTCAGTTAGTTAGGGTATCATATAGCCCGCCCAGTCCGACTTTTCTACATTCCTTCCTTTTTTATAAATTGTTTTATCCATTCAGAACGCGGAACACCACATAAAAGCCACTTCAATTAAAAAATGAGCTCAGGACCTCTATTTAAAATTGTTTTCGCATATGAACACCAAAATACATAAAATGGGCGGAGCCTTCATAATTATTCATAATGTTTAATTTTGGAAGGAATTATCAAACGGGAGGTTTTTCATTCTCTGAGAAATCTAACTACTAAAATTACATATATCCAAAATGCAACATTTGTCTAAGACATCGTTTATATGGATGGATTTTTAAAGAACCTAAAACTTTGATAATTATCAGCAAAGTAATATTTGATCCTCTGAAAGAGGCTATGCCAAAACATGAGCCAATAGTGAACATTTTGTTTTTCACCCGAAATGACTTCTAACAACCACAAACGTTGCACATTTTAGATTTTGTTTCCTGATTTCCACTAATAAAACTTTAGTCCACATGATTCTTACCTAACAAATGGGTCAATGTACTATTTTATATTACATGATATGGTTACATACAAACATATTTCATAAACAATAGATACTCATAGTCCACTTACGTTTTATCATTAATATCACCATCGTAAATGCCAGACGACATACCATAGGACGTTGCACTATCACCATCCTCCGCGTTGTTACGTTCCACATCATCGGCAGTGAGTTGGGTGATATTGTGAATGACAACACGCACTTGATTATCACGAATATTCAATGGTGGCAGTAAGGGTGATGCAGGTGGTGGTGCTGCTGGCCTAGGTTGTGGTTGTAAAAATCGTGTTGGCGGTTGTACCAGGGGTGCTAAAATTTGTTTCTCCAATTTGGAAGCATTATTTTGTATTAATTCCCATGGTACTGGGGTCACTTGGGCCGTGGCAATATTGGAACTTTCAACTTGCATATCAGATTCCGAGTAAGAATAACCAAATGTTACCGATTCTGTATTGTTGATATTCTCTTCAGATGATGAAATCATTTCAGATTTTTTGTTAATTGGATATGCTGGTGATGGAGGGGAGGGAGGGGAACGTAGGCGTATTGTGGAAGTATTATTTGTTGTCATATCCAATAGCTCAGCATCATAATCGGGGGGATCTATGGTCAATCGTATTATAAAATAAATTATTTGATAACGAATATGTTTTATTATACCTTGAGTGGTGCTGGCACCCTCTTCGTTTTCGTCAATTTTCCCATCATTGCCATTTTCATTAGTAGGTTTAAAGTGTCTCCGATCACGTCCAGCCGTTACGGAAATTCCCGATATTTGTTGAGCTCCATTTATACCCAAGTGTTTGGTTTGCTGCCTATTAACAATAAATATTATTTAAACAACATTTTCATAATTTGAATAATACACTAGAGGCCCGACTTGCATCTTTGAAGGTGACCCAAGAAACAATTTTGGAAAATGACTGAAAATGTGCTTAATATTGCAATCCTGACCAGTGCAATGTTTTAATTGAAAAAAAATTAATAATAAATAAAAAAATTAAGGTCGCAGACACATTTTTTATTACCTCGTGAATGCCAGTCGATATAGCCGGGCTAATTTCTCCTCCAACATCGGATTATCTTTTTGTGTATAAAATCCCGACATAACCGTAAGCAGCCAATATCGACGATCTGTAGCGGAGTAATTTAAGGGTGGTGTTCCAGCACCATTCCATACGCCGTCAATGCCCACAGTTCCCTCACCATAGCAATCTAAACAGATTGGTATATCAACTTCCTGGAAATTAATAAAAAAAATGGAATTTAGATAATTATTGAGTTTACGATTTAAAAATTAAATCTGTCTTAACATACGTAAGAACAAAAGGTATTCGACCCTCATAAATAAATTATTCAAAACTGCAATATATCCAAAATCGGCCCTAGGCTATACCAAAACGTCTATCTAAATTGACTATTTTCGGTAAGGAGATAACTTGAAAATCTATATTGGCTATTTTCGGCAAAAGAGATAAATTCCTTCATAGCTAAGGTTTGTGGTTCTGTAGTTTGCAAATTGTAGCAAAATATTTCAATATTTAAAATTTAAATCGTTTTTGAAAGATTTCACGAAAAAATTGGGTGAGAACCTCTCATCTAATTTTCTACCCAGATCTTCTGTAGTTTTGGTATTTCGTTTTCTCCTGGCTGTCATTAACCACGACATGTCCCTCATCTAAAAGACCCGACCGATTTTAAGTATTCTCATCATGGCAATGTGTAAAAAGTTCGGCCATTCCGAAATTGAGGACGTTTTATTTGTGACATGAAAGCTGATTTTCAGACTAAATCAGCTGACTACGTTAATATATTTAATTTATGCCTAAAAGTATGCAGCAAACATTGAAATAGAATTTCAAAGAATATTTTTCGAAGGATTTGTTGAAGAATATTTTTGAAGGACTTTCAGAACCATAAGCGACTAGGGCTATTCAAGGCGTAGAAATTAATTTGTCAATGTCTATCAGATAGCGTAGGTTTTTTAAACACATTTTTCAAGGGCTATTAGAAGGGGTATTGTTTTACATTTATTTTTCAAGGAATATTGTAGAGCGTAGATCTTCTTAACTGATTTTTCAAAAGCTCTTAGAAGGCGTAGATTTTTTAAACTAATTTTTCTAATGCCTACTGTAAAGCGTACATTTTTATACCCTTCACCACACTGTGGTATGTCTTTGTGCATATGTTTGTAACAGGCAAAAGGAAACGAGATAGACACATGGTTCCTTTTGAGAATATGCATAGAATCACTTTCTGAGTCGATTTACGCATGTCCGTCCGTCCATTTATTTTTGTGAACAAAGTACAGGTCGCATTTATGATCCGATTTAGATCAAATTTGGTACAGTTCACTTATTTGGCCCAAGGACGAACTCTGCTGAAATTGGAGAAAATCGGTTCAGATTTAGATATAGCTCCCATATATATTTTCATTATATTGGAGCACCATACTGCCGACATTGGTCCGATTAAGACAAAATTTTACACGATTGACCAATATTGGTCCTATTGAGGCAAAATTTTGCACAGAGTACTTAGGTCCAGATTGATGTATCCCATATATAGTTTTGTCCGATTTTTTTGTAAATGATGCACCAAAATTTTGCATACCGTATTGAAGTTACTACAGGTTAGTATACGTATAGGTTGTTTTAATGTAGTTCAAATATCTATCAAATATCTTCACGTATTTAATATCGTCCGATTCCATTTCAATGGTCCTCCAAAGATGCCATGTCTATTCTATCTAAAGGATATTGTACATATGAGCCCGGCCCCGACCGACTTTTAAACTTTCCTTACTAGTTTAACATAAACGTACTCATTACTGTACACGGTCGTACGTGAAAAAATACGATCCCGTTTATAAGATCGTCGCACGTGACGATTCACAGGTCAATCCACTTCTATTTGCTTGTGTAAAATGTAGGGCGGTCAATTGTAATTGGTAGAAAGGAAACAAAGCATTACAAGATTGTACTTCTTACACTTCTAGGAGTTCTGTGTTCTGAGTGTATTTCCTTTAGACTTTACCATTCACCCCCTTAGATCGGTTAGTTCGCGGTTAGTGTAGTTTCCCAAGAGTTGTGTACAAAGACTTGCAATGGCTGGTCAGTGGCATAGAAAATGTTCCAGCATTTCGCTGCCTTCTCCACTGGTGTACATCCCTCGCACCCAATTTCGTTTTTAATATTTTTGAAGGACATGGATTTTCATAATTAATTTTTTAATTGCTAATAGAAGTTGTAGATTTTATACCCTTCACCACACTGTGGTACAGGGTATTATGTCTTTGTGCATATGTTTGTAACAGGCAAAAGGAATCAAGATAGAGCCATGGTTCCTTTTGAGAATATGCATAGAATCACTTTCTAAGTCGATTTACGCATGTCCGTCTGTCCGTCCGTTCGTCTGACCATGTTAAATTGTAAACAAAGTACAGGTCGCGTTTATTATTCGAATTGGATGAAATTTGGCACAGATCATTCATATGGCCCAAGGACGAACCCTATTGAAATTGGGAAAAATCGGTTCAGATTTAGATATAGCTCCCATATATATTTTCGTCCAATTTAAGGTAAATGGTGCACCAAAGTCCCTAAATAACTTTCGATTTGCACGAACTCTGGCACAACGTACTGAATTGAGCCTAGATTGATGTCTGCCAAGTTTCGAGAAAATCGGCCCAGATTTAGATATAGCTCCCATATATAGTTTCGTCCGATTTAAGGTAAATGATGCACTAAAGACTCTATATATCTGTCGATTTGCACGAAATTTGGTACAACGTACTGACTTGAGCCTAGAGTGAGGTCTACCAAGTTTCGTGAAAATCGGTCCGAATTTAGATATGGCTCCCATACATAGTTTCGTCCGATTTCATGTAAATGGTGCACCAAAGTCCCTATATATCTTTCGATTTGCTCCAAATTTACTATAACATACTGAATTGAGGCTAAAGTGATGTCTGCCAAGTTTAGTGAAAATCGGTCCAGATTTAGACATAACTCCCATATACAGTTTCGTCCGATTTCATACAAATGGTGCACCAAAGTCCCTATATATCTTTCGATTTGCACGAAATTTGTCGTATCGTACTGAATTGAGCGTAGAATGATGTCTGCCAAGTTTCGTAAAAATCGGTCCAGATTTAGATATAGCTCTCATATATAGTTTCGTCCGATTTCATGTAAATGGTGCACCAAAGTCCCTATATATCCTTCGATTTGCTCGAAATTTGGAATAGCGTACTGAATTTAGTCCAGAATGATGTGTGCCAAGTTTCGAGAAAATCGGTTGAGATTTAGATATAACTCCCTTACATTATAGATTGATTTCAAGTAATTGACGCACCAAGGATCCAATATATGTCTGATAGGAACAAAACGTACTGAAATTAGTATAACCTAACCTGTGATAAGTTTCGTTGAAATCGGTTCATATTTGGATATAACTTCCATATTTCAGATTGACATCAAATTTTGCACAACGTACAAAATTGAACATAGAATTACGTAGTTGCGTTTTCTAGAAGTACAGACATAGCCCAAAGGATGACCTATTGATATTTGTTTGAAGTCGATTCACAGTTAGATAAATATCACATATTTTATTTCATCCAATTTCATGGTAATAGTCCTGCCGGCCCCGTTCGACTTTACTGCTTTCCTTACTGGTTAAAAATGTTTATTCATGGCTAATAAGTGGCTAAGATTTTTAGGGAATTTTTTCCACGGACAGTCGTGGATTTTTTAAATTATTTTTCAAGGATTATCAAAGAAGTGCAAATGTTTAAAATTATTATTTCTTCCATGGCCGTTCTATATTGATTCATATCATCAATATAATACAAATTATGCAAATAATATTTCGTAATATTATAATGTTGTCGTTCAAAATCAGTTCATGTTGTAATTAACATCTGTTTCCATATATTCCATACTAGCATATGCCCGTTACATCGTTAGCGGATTTTTTATAGTTAAAATAAATAAGCGTTAATTTAGCTTTACTTTTGGACTAAATATAAATTTGAAATATTTCGAATAAAATATTAGATCCTACTCAGCTTTTCGTTCGAACCGAAACGTTGATGCGTAAATCTACTTAACCTAATAAATCGAGTACAACATTCTTATATTTATTTTTCTGAAAGTGTATGATTTTCTCGATCCTCCCGATGGACTAATGCAAATAGTACGTTTTTTAACTTTTTTGCTTCTTTCGGTAATTAATGGTAAAATTTGCTAATGGTAAAATTTGTAGTACGTTTTAGTACTTGTGTACCCTTATAGTACGAATTTCTAATATAATATTTTGCAAAGCGCATCATATTATGGGAAATTTTTGTATGTTACTTGTTACAAAATCACCATTGGAAAATTTTTCGATATTTTTTGTATATCCTCGACATAAAGATCCCGCCTATTATTCATAACATCGAAAGTCCAGTGTGGTTAGAAAACTCATTGGAAATAAATATCTGTACTTTTAAGTAGAAGTTTTAAAAACATTTTTGTTTAGAAGTGCCAACAATTTAGGACTTGTGGTGTTTAGCGGCTTGTTTGCATAGTTTCACTTATTTGTATATGAAGTCTCGTCCGTTTTTCACTACAAGTTTAAACCAAAATACATAATCATTCGTTGTAGTATAGATCCATGTCAAATTGGAAACTATATTTCATGTAACTCGCAGTAATTTTTAGTAAAAGTTTTCGAAAAATATTTCCATAAAACATTTTAATTGCCACAGTCAAAGATAAATACTAAAATTCAGATGTCTTTCTCTAAACTTTCCTATTTAGTAATTTTTAGTACGAATTTTCAAAAACAATCCATTTTTTAATTTGTTATAGCTAAATGTACATACACAATTTCTGGACTCTACCTCTACTGCTTCTGTCGTATACAATATTTAGTTGTTTACATTGTTTCTCATAGAAAAATCCTTGTACCAAATTCTATATCCACCCGTACCGCCGTATACAATATGTTGGGCTTTTTAGTACATTTTAATCTTATAGTTCCAGATAAGTATTTAATAAGAGTTTCTATCTTTATCCGTTTTACCGTACCCAATATTTAGTACTTGTATACTTTTATTTAATTATTTTACCACTTCTAATCGCTCAATACCCATGTAAAATTTTTAGTAGTTTCCATACTAACATTTATTAGTTTGCATACTAACAATGGTACAGAATTTTGTACTTATATGTGAAATAATTAAGTAACATACTATGTTTCAGTTGTCCTTTAATATTTAGTACCATTTTAGTACTAATTTCAAAAAATTATGCACAGCGAAGTATTTGTAGAGTTATACTTCCAACCGTTCCGATGTAATATATTTTTAGTACTTTTTAGTACCATTTCAATACTAATTTCCAAAAGATATTTTGTACAGCATTTTATATGTAACTGGTTCCATTCTCTACTGGTTCCATTCCAATATAATATTTAGTACCTCTTAGTACTAAATTCCAACTTTTTCACACATGCCCTTTGGAGTATTATTGACAAAGCTGTATACCAAATTTCAAAGTTCTACTTCCAACCGTTCCGGCGAAATACAGTTTTAGTACTTTTTAGAACCATTTTAGTACTAATTTGCTACAAATATTTGTGCACGTCGTTCTTGTTTTCATAGCTTAAGCTACATACAAAGTTTCAATATGTATCTCTACCGATTCCATTTAAATATAATATTTAATACTTTTTAGTACCTCTTAGTACTAAATTCCAAAATTTTTTCACACATACCACTTCGCTTATCGTAGGCAAAGCTGCATACCAAATTTCAGATTTCTACATCTAACCGTTCCGGCGTAATACAGTATTAGTACTTTTTAGTATCTTTTAGTACTAATTTCCAAAAAATATTTTTGCACTTATTTCTATATGTAATAGCCCAAGCTACATACCAAGTTTCAGATATGTATATTTACCAATTCCATCAAAATATAATGTTTAGTACTTTTTAGTACCTCTTAGTACTAAATTCCATTTTTTTCATAAATACCACTTCGCTCGGCATAGACAAAGCTACGTGCCAAATTTCAAAGTTCTAATTCTAACCGTTCCGCCTTAAAGCAGTTTTTAGTACTTTTTTAGTACCTTTTAGTACGAATTTCCAAAAACCCCGCCTTATCACACGCCTCCCCACCAAACCCAACCTACATGCCAAATTTCAAGTTTCTAGCTTTAGCCGTTTCGTCTGGGCGTTGATGATCAGTCAGTCACTTATAACGCAACTCTTTTATATATATAGATAAAAATAAATAAACAAATAAAATTATAAACTTACATTGTTACCATCGACATAGACAGTGGCCACAACGGTCTCCGTTTTGACCACAACATCTTTCCCCTTGCTAATGCCGGTGTGGACCTGTTTCAAATAATCCGGTGGTCCATCACCCGATCCCGTCCAAAAGAAATCCTCCAAATGTACCTCCTCACGTAATTCCGGATAATCATCACCAAAGTCATCATCATCTAAAATCAAAATAAAGAGATAGAAAAAAAACGAAACAAAATAGTTATGTTAATGTCAATCAGACATGACAAATATCGTGTCGGTATAGTTTGCGGCGGGGGTTGCTATAGAAATTATTTAGTTATGGTATTAAGTTGATAAGGAAGGAAATAAATGTTGTTGTTGTTTTGTAAATGTATGGAAAAAGGAAATAAGAATTTGTAATTGTTAGGCTTTCGTTTTTTGACAATGTTGTATCTATTGTTATTGTTGTTGTACTGTTGCTAACGTTATCACACCGTATTTGTTTACTTTTGCAAATGTTATGTTACTACCATTCATATGTATGTATGTCTGTATGTATGTTGGTTTTGCTAGATAGTATTTATGTATCAACAAGAAAAAGAAAGTTTGTTTGATCAATTTTAAAGTCCTCCTCCTAGTTTATTTGTAATGAGGTCTTGTTGCTAGAAGTTTTGCAGAAAATTAGGCTCAAAGGGAAATTAAGAGGAAATGATGATTGAACATATAGAAGACCTATAGGCCTTCCATAGTCTAGAACATATAATGTCAATAGAAGTCCTTTATAGTCAATAAATGTCATCTAGATCTTCTACAGTCAATAGAAAAACGATTATAATGCATAGAAGACTTCTAGGTCCTCTATATGCTATAGAAGACTTCTAGGTCCTCTATATGCTATAGAAGACGTCTAGGTCTTCTATAGTCAATAGAAGACTTCTAAGTCTTCTATAGTCAATAAAGAACCACGAGGTCTACCATAGTCAATTGAAGACTTTTACGTATTCTATAGCCAATATAAGACTAATAGAAGACCTCTATATAATCTATATCAATACAATAATCAATACAAGACCTCAAGGTCTTCTATAGTCAATAGAAGTCCTCTAGGTCTTCAAGAGTCAATAGAAGACCTCAAGGTCTACTATAGTCAATAGAAGACCTCTCGGTCTTCCATTTGGTACACCATTTACTGAAAATCGGACGGAAATATATATGGTAGCTATAAAAAACTCGCATACATCAATCTGGATCTAATTCAATACGCTGTGCAAAATTTTGTGCCAATCGGGCTAACCTTGGGTTTTGGTGCACAATTTACTAAAAATCGGACGGAAATATATATGGAATCTATATACAAATCTGATCATATTTCAACAAAACCTCGCATACATCAATCTGGACCTAATTCAGTACGCTGTGCACAATTTTGTGCCAACCGGGCTAACTTTGGGTCTTTGGTGCACCACTTACTTAAAATCGGACGAAAATATATATGGACGAGATATCAAAATCTGAACCGATTTCAAAGAAAATGTACACACGTAAGTTTAAATAACATCAGTACATTGTGCAAAATGTTGCGACAATCGACCTAACTTTGGACCTTTGATGTACCACTTATTTAAAATCGGAACTCCCATATATAGCTATATATAAATTTGATCCGATTTCAAAAAAAAATTCGCATACATTAATCTAGATCTAATTCAGTACGCTGTGCAAAATGTTGTGCCAATCGGCATAACTTTTCTTCTTTTGAACACAACATTTACTTAAAATGGGACAAAAATATATATAAGAGCTATATCTAAATCTGATCCGATTTCAACAAAACCTCGCATTCATCAATCTGGACCTAATCCAGTACGCTGTGCAAAATTGTTTGGCGATCGGCTTAACTTTGGGTCATTGGTGCCCCATTTTAATAAAATCGGACGAAAAAATATATGGGAGCTATATCTAAATCTTAACCGATTTTTCCCAATTTGAATAAGGTTCGTCCTTGGGCAAAATAAATGAACTGTGCCAAACTTCATCCAATTCTGATCAGAGATGCGACCTGTACTTTGTTTACAATTTAAATCGACTAAATTTACGACATAAACCGACTCAAAAAGTGATTCTATGCATATCTCGTTTCCATTTGCCTGTTACAAACATATGCACAAAGAAATAATACCCTGTACAACAGTTTGGTGAAGGGTATGAACAATGGCATTTTGGAGGCCAATATTGAACATTTTTGGTAGGTATGGACCTTATAATGAAATTTTGCTTAACCTTTTCAGTGTTTTTTCGAATATATTCGACATTTAAAAGTACCTTCTTTCTTTGCGATTTTTCGGTTATCCTACGTACCGTTACTATTGACGTTTTTGTTTTTGCTGGAAGACAGACGAACCTGGCCGAGGTTTAAAATGAACATTGCTACTTTTTCTAAACTTTGTGCCTTTATATGATTTTAAATACAAAATTTGAGATTTTTATACCGACAAACATTTTTTTACACTGGTTTCGTTTCCAGATTAAATTCTATGCAACTCCGACTACATCGAATCATCAATCTTCTATCGATATGGATTGTATCATTCAATGTAACTGTTGATCCCTCCTCATTTTCGAATAACTAATTCCGAAGACCTTAACGGATCATAATAGGTGTTGAGTACATACTTTTGAAATCGGCTCAGATTAAGAAATATCTCCTATATAAATTTTTGTTCAATTTGATGCATTTTATGATTTTATAATCCAACAAACCTTCTTAAAAAATAAACTATTTGACCCATTCGAACTTAGAAGAAAAACTAATTGAAATGTGGTTTTTCCCCTCACGCAAAAATTGACACAATTATTATTTTCCGAAATTGTATTGTTTAGTATGAAGGGAACGGAAATAAACGCAACATTTGTTCTTAATGCGTTAATAAATATGTTATTATTTGTTGTGCCAACTATTGTCCCGCGTATGGTCAATTGTATGAACTTTAAAAACTATAATATAATTGAAATGAATATATATGTATATATACATATATATGTGTATGGTATATGGTAAATAATTCCAAAAATAAATACATTATTTATTAAAGAACCGAAATTGTATTTTAGCAAAGTACAAAATAATAAGAAATGTTGGCTTTAATCTATCTACCAAAACAGAAGAACATTATATATGTTACGGAAAATATAGCATTTACAGATATTTTCTATTTGAGAATAAAAACTTTGAAATAAATTCCAAATGATTATATTGAAGTCATATGGAAAATTGAATATCGTGAGAATTTCTTGCAAATGGAAATCTCGTAGCATACCTTGAACATTTTCATTAATTAGTCAGTTCCCGTACTGTAAGAATCTATCTGTCTATACTAATAAAGGAAAATTTGTTATCGCGAAACTTATATATAAGTGTTATTACAAACTGTCGGCAAATATTCAAAATTTTCTGCAGAGATGTTTATAACCCTCCGAAAAAAATGAAATGCTTAATTACAGTCAAATTTAAAATAACGAGAATGGGACTAGACCTTATATGAACCTCAAAATATGGATCTATACTGAAGAATTTTTGCATTGATTCTCAAAATGTCAAATTAAAATAGAAATATGAGGTTAAAATAATTAAAATTCAGAAAATGGGGCGATACCGTTATTTTGGAGCTAAACCAAAACATGGACCGTTCTTGGATAACCGCATCGTTTCCATGGAATTCTCTGAAGTTTTGAATCGACGCGTGGCCTCAAAGAAGGAAAACATAAGGTTAAATATCACACAGTCTCTTTGGCCAAGTGACCACCTCTTTCTTCCCGAAAAAGCTTCGTAAAAGCAAATGCTATAGTTGATTGTGTCACATATCGTCATCTTGTTGAAGAAAAACGAAAAGATCACAAACTAATACTTGAACCAAGCCTATATAACGTTTGAAGATAGGTCTTATCGACTCACTCCCTCTAGTACCCTCATCACAAAGGTCACCATTTTTAAAATTTGTAAATCCCATACGAAGCGATCGTAATATTCAATTGCATCCAAACATCCAATATTTTCGTTTTGAAAATACTTGTAATTTTTATGGATCGATTGGAGTATCCGATTTAATGCATTGCACTATGGGATGCCAGTGGGTTTATGAAATAAATATCGCATAAAAGTTTTGAGGACGCTGATTACGATTCGGCAAGAAAAAAAAACTATTCTATTGATAGGTTGACGGTCATATTTTTTAAAAGTTGAATTATCAAATTATTTTTGAATACGTTTTGTAGAACTATGGTCACTAATTACAAATGTGAAATCAGTTTTTGAAAATCAAAAAAATAATCCAAAATGTCGGATCAAACATAAAAACAACCAGTGAGCGGAGCAGTATAGTCGGACGGGGCCGACCATACGATACCCTACACAACTACCACGAACTCTAACTTTCTGACGATGTTTATTCCGAGTCTGAGTAATATTTCCTGATATTTGCCCCCTCTTGTACAGTCCTTCTAATTACTTGTCCAGATTACCTTCACGGTGGGTGTGTTGTGATTTTCGGATTATACTCTACTCGAAAACACACAAAAAATTATGTTTTCGGTCCATTTCATCCCAAAATTTTAATCTGATCATCACCGAAATTTAGAGGCGTTGTTCTTGACCATAACTGGAACTTCATGAAAAATTTCAAAGCCATCAGCGCGATATTTCTCCCTTTAATGTGGTAATGGATTACTAAATAATATCTGAATACGTAAGCACATGTAAATATTTGACTGTAACTCCCACATCTGAGTAGATACATCACTATATTTGGTATCAATTTAAAGGTCAACCACTCCTCTTGGATATGTTATCAACTCCTAGGGTCTACATCCTCCAGGAGTAAATATATATGCCATAGAATACAAATTTTGTCATTTTTCACACAAAAGTCAGGGTCCATTTGACCCGCTAAATATTGACCGATCTTTATCAAAACATGCACGCTTATTCTCTGACCCGATCCCCTTCTCCATGCAAAAATTCGCGGTGTTTGGGCCATAATTGCGGCCTCTGGAGCGACCAGAAAAACCGACAAAAATTTAGTATTTGGTCCATTTCATCCCCTAAATATTAACCGATCTTTTCCAAAAACAATAGGGGTCTTCATTGGCCAGAACCCATCCTACATGCAAAATTTCGTGAAGATTGGTCCATAACTGTGGCCTGTATCGTGTTTACAAATTATAATGGACAGACGGACGGACACACATGTCTAGATCGACTAAGCTAGTCGAGATATGACGATCGGTATACTTAAAGGTGGGTCTAGGACCAATATTTCGCGGCGTTACAAACATTTGGGGCTGCACAAAGCTATAATACCCTGACAACATAGTTGTGTAGGGTATAAAAATAAATATTTCATTTCTTGCCAGTGTTTAACATCAGAATAGCATGAAATAGTTTTTATGTATCATGGTCTTAAAACTACAGCATTTCCTAATTAAAATTGAATTAAACGAGCTCAAAATCCCGAAACTACCAATTAATGGTCACTACCCCGAAACTTAAGTCAATATTGATAGTTTTTCGTACAAATAAATCACACCTTTTTTATTAAATTTTCCAGGCAATATTCAACGACTATAGCATTGTGCAGCCCCAAGAGTTTATAACGCCGCGAAATATTGGTCCTAGACCCACTTTTAAGTATACCGATCGTCATATTTCGACTAGCTGAGTCGATCTAGACATGTGTGTCCGTCTGTCCATTATAATTCGTAAACACGATACAGGCCACAGTTATGGACCAATCTTCACGTAATTTTGCATGTAGGACGGGTTCTGGCCAATGAAGACACCTATTGTTTTTAGTAAAGATTGGTTAATATTTAGGGGATTAAATGGACCAAAAAAATATTTACAGGTGCTTACGTATTCATATATTATTTAATAACCCATTACCACACTAGAGGGCGGAAATATAGCGCTGATCGCTTTGAATTTGGGGGATCCAGGTATGGTCACGGACAACGCCTATAATTTTCGGTGATGGTCAGATAATAATATTGGGATGAAATGGACCGAAAAAACCTAATTTTTGCCATAATTGAAAGCCGAACATCACAACACAACCCACGGTGAAGAGAATGTGGTCAAGTAATTAGAAGGGTTGTACTGGATATTGGTAATATTCGGAAAATATGTCAGTGTAAGGAAGAGGTGATGTTGACATCTAATCGGGCAAGAGGTAGAGAGGAAGATAGAGTTCTGTGGTAGTTATGTAGGGTATCGTATGGTCGGTCCCGTCCAACTATACTGCTCCGCTCACTGGTGTTATATTTGGATGGGGAAAAATCCATTATTTTTCGGCAGATGGATGCTCTGATAGATTTCTCGTAAAGTATCGATCAAACAATTTCAGATTTATGCTCGTTGAATGAGTAACATTTCGCAATAAAAAATTAGTTTGCAGTTTTTTATGTTAAAAATGCACCTCGTACAGGTAGGCCGGCCGTCGAAAATCCGAGAAATGATCGAAGTTGACCGGCATGTTAGTTGACCGGTATATTAGATGTTTAAACCATTTACACAAAAACAAATTATAATGGATTTATTTTTCCCCAACCTAATATTATCGACAATAACTCTTAAATTTATGAACGGTCGCAGACGTTCGCAAAATTCGGGATGGTTAATTGTTGTTGCTACAACCAAGAAATCGAGATAGACCCATGGTTCCTTTTGAGAATATGCATAGAATAATTTCCTGAGGCGATTTATGCATGTCCGTCTGTCCGTTCGTCCATGTATTTTTATAAACAAAGTACATGTCACATTTATAATCCTATTTGGAGGAAATTTTGCGCATGTCACTTATTTGTAGATATTTGTAGATATAGATCCCTCATATATTTTTTCCGATTTTATGCAAATGGAGGAGCCTATGTTGACTTTACATGAAATATTGCGTAGTTTTACTTCACGCAGTAAATTTCGTCCGATTCAATTTCAATTTTCCTCCAACCATGCTATATCTATTCTATTTAAAAGATATTGTATATATGAACATTTCTTGTATGTACCCAAAATGACGGTATCATTCCCTACTGGTTATATATAAAATGTATTAAAAAATGTGAAATTTTTACTTTGGGCTCATGTCATTTGTAAACAGAGACCCACAATGTTATACAATTTTACTGGCTGAAATTGACTTTTTGCCAACAAATTGGATTCCTGACCCATAGTGCATTCATTGCACATAGTAATATTTTTCCATGACATTAGAATATGGGATCTTTAGGGCAACTTCTTCTACACAGCATACAGAAGTTCAGCACACAGAAGTTCAGCCCCTTCCTATAACATTCTCAATATAAGTCCATGCTTATACATTGCGACATTTTCAGTTTGTTCAAGGTCCTATGCCGATTTTCCTACCTGGGAGTCTGAAGTTTGCTAAATATTATTATCCTGACAGCAATTTACCCATCCCGATGTAGTGTCAACCTCATGATGTAGGGTTTAAAGGTATGATCTGGCCGAAATTTCCAGCTTCAATTGTTGCTACCTTTTTTGTTTAAATTCTTGTTTGTTCCATACACCTTATCTATTTCGCAGAATATGTGCTTTTTTATTCAAAACACTACCGTTTACAATAATTTCCTGAAACTGTAGTTCCGAATCAGAAAATCAGCACACACATTCAGTCATTCAAATTTATTCTACGTATGTAAATATGTATATAACACAGTTCTTTTTTCTATACATATGTATGTATATATTATAAACATTAAGCGTAGGTGCAACGTACCATGACTTATTTGTATTAACGGCAGACCGACGTCACCATAACAATTGGGCAATTTCAATGCGAATCCGATGATGAGAACGATTAAAACTTTTATAAATCTTTCGGAAGTCATGTTGTTGTTGTCGTGTTTTGTTTTTGTTATTATTTGGTGGAAAACAAATGCCTAGAAACACCTTACAATGTGTGTTGTTGTTGTTGGTGGTGGTGATATTTACCACAAATATGTAGAAATTCTATTGTATATCCGTGGGTCTGTTTGTCACTTCACTTCTTCACTTTATTGTTGTTGTTGGGTTTTTCTTTTTTCAATTTTAATAATCACTTGTGACGTCAAGAACACAAACTACTATTTCAATTGGCGGTTTATAGTTTTGTTGTAATTCCTGCTGCCTCGTCAATGGCATTTCCACTTTAGACTGAATGAAGTGACTGTGAGCCTTTGTATCAGTCGTAGAGGATAAAGTTTTGCATAACTTCATAATTGTTGAAATATTCAAAAAGTTCGCGAAAAAATTGCGAAATTTTGCGAACCACAACAGGACACTTTCTTTATGAATGTGACATTTTTTTGTTGTTGCTGTTAGGATTTTCAAATTAATAATTGAATTCAACAGTTTGGAACTGTTTGCATTTGTTGAGACAATTTTTATTAGAACTTTCTGCTTTTGGTTTTCCTTTTCACATTCCACACAATTAATTTGAATTTTCCCCGTTTATTTTCCGTTATAGTTGGATTTTCCAACTCTCTCCGCCAAGTGCTGTTCGAAAACTATTTTTTCGTTGTTATTTGCCTTGATTACCTTTGGCAGGTGGTGGTAGTTGGTGATTGTTTGTTTGCTGCTGCTGGTGGTAGTAGTCAATCAAAATACCCCCTCCCACATCAAAAGTTTCCACTTAACCCTTAGAGGACAAAAAAATTTATTTGTCCTTAGAGGACAAATGAATGTTTGAATAAAAAAATTCCAAATGTATTTCAAAGTGTCGCCAATACGAATTTGGAAAATGCAATTAGAAATTTAAGGTGTCTAAAATCGGACGTCAAAACAACAACATCAATTGAAACAATTAACTACGCATATAAGTTCAAAACCTAATCTGAAATATATTTTTTTCAGGGGATTTATTATTGTCACAGCCCCATTTACCAAACTGCAGACACTTCGGTTGGGAAATTGGAGTAGTGCCCCCAAAACCCCGAAAATGGGGCGAGACCATTAAAGATTGTCTATTAGGAGATTTCTATCCTTTAAGAACACGATATGAAAAATACTGGCACTGGAAATATTCATATTTTTTATCGTTTGTATTTTTTTATCGTTTTTTCAATCCACCTCGCCAGTTTAAGGGTTAATAAGTGTAACATTGAGAGAGTGTATTTCAGTTGATTTAATGTTTGTTTTATTGGTCGCTTGTTGTTGTTGCTGTAGTTGTTACCTTTGTTCACGTTCTCATTGTTCTATATAGAATTTTCACCCGTTTCGTTTTTTTGTGTTGTAGTTGTTTTTGTTGTAGACATGTGTGGTCAGTTACCTGTGGCAACAGTCAGCCAGTCAACCAACAACAACAAGAAAGGTTTTGCGAATAGCCGCCCAAACGGTTCTTTAACACCAATCGCCACTAACTTCACTTTGTTTACTTTTCAGTTCAGAATTGGAAAAGTTTTTAATTTAAATTCGACGAAAAACAAAATAAATGCTTTAATTCACATTGTTTGGATAAATCAAAGTTCAGTCGATTGCGGAATTTTAACAAAGCCATCGAACAAGCGGAAGTATCGTTGATTTTTTAAAGTAGGTGTTAAAGAAAAATGTTCGTGAATATGAAACCGCTGTCATTACGATTTTTAGTGTTCCGCCAAATGGAACACTATGATTTTTAGTCTTCCGGTCAGAGGAACACTAAGATTTTTAGTGTTCCGGCAAGTGGAACACTAACATTTTTAGTGTTCTGACCGCGGTACGCTACGATTTTTTAGTGTTCCGACCGCGGTACACAACGATTTTTAGTGCTCCGACTGCGGTACACTACGATTTTTAGTGCTCCGACAGCGGTACACTACCGTCGAAATCGTTTATAACTACGCTATTCAAATTAGCGTAAAGTTTGGATAAATCAAAGTTCAGTCGATTGCGGAATTTTAACAAAGCCATCGAACAAGCGGAAGTATCGTTGATTTTTTAAAGTAGGTGTTAAAGAAAAATGTTCGTGAATATGAAACCGCTGTCATTACGATTTTTAGTGTTCCGCCAAATGGAACACTATGATTTTTAGTCTTCCGGTCAGAGGAACACTAAGATTTTTAGTGTTCCGGCAAGTGGAACACTAACATTTTTAGTGTTCTGACCGCGGTACGCTACGATTTTTTAGTGTTCCGACCGCGGTACACAACGATTTTTAGTGCTCCGACTGCGGTACACTACGATTTTTAGTGCTCCGACAGCGGTACACTACCGTCGAAATCGTTTATAACTACGCTATTCAAATTACAGTGAAAAACTATGCCCTCGTTTATAACGACTAGTTTCGCCGGGCCCTTGACCGTCGTTATAAGCGATTTCGACTGTATATTTAAAAAGTCCCAATGGGGATGTACGATACGCAGAATATACAAACAATCGTAAACTATAGAAATACTAAAAACTAAATCAAACCTAAATATCAGACTGGAGCCAACATAGTTGAAAAATGTTAACCAAATAGCCAATTGGGCGTATATATATTGCAAAGCGGACAATCCATTCTCTTGATATTGAATTAACAAATATTCCAATTTTTGCCATCATGTGGGGAAGGTACCAGAAGGCGAGAAGCGAAGGTCTCATTTTTATACCCTTCACCACTCTGTGGTACAGGGTATTATGTCTTTGTGCATATGTTGGTAACAGGCAAAAGGAATCGAGATAGACCTATGGTTCCTTTTGAGAATATGCATAGAATCACTTTCTGAGTCGATTCATGCATGTCCGTCCGTCTGTCCATGTTAAATTGTAAACAAAGTACAGGTCGCATTTATGATCCGAATTGGATGAAATTTGGCATAGGTCACTTATTTGGCCCAAGGACGAACCCTATTGGATTTGGGAAAAATCGGTTCAGATTTAGATATAGCTCCCATATATATTTTCGACCGAATTAATGTAAACGGTCCCTATATATCTTTTGATTTGCACGAAATTTGGTACAGAGTACTGAATTAGGTGCAGAGTAATGTGTGCCAAGTTTCGAAAAAAAAAATCGGTTCAGATTTAGATATAGTTTAGTCTGATTTAAGGTAAATAGGTCTCCAAAGTCCCTATATATCTTTCGATTTGCACGAAATTTGGCACAGCGTAATGAATTAAGTCTAGAATGATGTGTGTCAAGTTTCCTGAAAATCGGTTCAGATTTGGATATAGCTCCCATATATATTTTCGTTCGATTTTATGTAAATGGTACACCAAAGTCCCTATATATCTGTCGATTTGTACGAAATTTGGCACAGCGTAATGAATTGGGTCTAGAATGATGTGTGTTAAGTTTCCTGAAAATCGGTTCAGATTTAGATATAGGTTTCATATATATTTTCGTCCGATTTAAGGTAAATGGTGTACCGAAGTCCCTATATATCTTTCGATTTGCACGAAATTTGGCACAGTGTAAATAATTAAGTCTAGAATGATGTGTGTCAAGTTTCCTGAAAATCGGTTCAGATTTGGATATAGCTCCCATATATAATTGGGATTGAATGAATTAGGCCTAAAATGAAGCATGTTAAGTTTCCTGAGAATCGGTTGAGATTTAGGTATAGCTTCTTTATCTGACCAAATGAAAAATTTAGTATCGGCTGCAGAATGACATGTTTATGGATCCAATTTCATTTTACTGGTCCTTTAAAAATGAGACGTCTGTTAGGATTCATCTGTTGAACATACTACTTTCCTTACTGGTTGAACTTGATGTATGTAAGGCAGGGCTGTCCACACTAATACTTAAAATTGTTATGAGAGAAATATTGTACAAATTTTAATTTTCAGTAAGAGAAACATCTTTAGTGCACTGCTGATGTTAGGTACACATATAAGTTCCATTTTCCAACATTATAAAGACATGGCTAAAATAGTAGATGGTGTAAACTTTAGTTCAAATTGGATAATCCGTTTTCATGATGTAATAAAATCAATATTGTGTGGGACGAAGACCTTCAGCTCTTCTATGACGAAGAAGACCTTCAGCTCTTCTATGACGAAGAAGACCTTCAGATCTACTATGAAGAAGAAGACCTTCAGCTCTTCTATGACGAAGAAGACCTTCAGCTCTTCTATGACGAAGAAGACCTTCAGCTCTTCTATGACGAAGAAGACCTTCAGCTCTTCTATGACAAAGAAGACCTTCAGCTCTTCTCTGACTAAGAAGACCTTCAGCTTTTCGCTGACGAAGAACACCTTCAGCTCTTCTATGACGAAGAAGACCCTCAGCTCTTCTAGGACGAAAAAGACTCTCAGCTCTTCAAGGACGAAGAAGACCCTCAGCTCTTCTATGACGAAGAAAACCTTCAGCTCTTCTATGACGAAGAAGACCTTCAGCTCTTCTATGACGAAGAAGACCTTCAGCTCTTCTATGACGAAGAAGACCTTCAGCTCTTCTATGACGAAGAAGACCTTCAGCTCTTCTATGACGAAGAAGACCTTCAGCTCTTCTATGACGAAGAAGACCTTCAGCTCTTCTATGACGAAGAAGACCTATGACGAAAAAGACCTCTTCTATGACGAAGA